GGATACAAGCCTGCCTGTCCTGGTTCTGTCTCAGGACCTGAAAGCTGGCTCAGCCTGCCCCCGTCACCCACAGCCGGTCGTTGGGGCTGACGTATGGGGTCTTTGCTGCTCCAGGCTGACCCAGGGCCTAGTGAGCACCTTTCCTGCCATGGCCGGAGCCTTTTCCACTCAGATGACTTCAACCACATGAAGCTGGAGGTCAGGGCAGTCTGTTCCGAGCATTGGGACCAGTGTGGTGCACAGAACCTATTCACCCAGTGGGGTCTCACCTGCCCAATTGGTCAGTGACCTTGACCACCGCTCGAAGGTGCTAGAGAGGCCCTTCCATCCCAGATAGTGTCACATAACCGTAGCCATCTGCGTTTTCATAGGAAGCTGGTAAACCTCCCACTCCACTCTTCGCAGGAGAGCTGGAAAAGGAGCAGAATGAGAAAGCCAGCTAGTGCCTCTGGCATTCAGATCACCTCCCGAGTGCCAGTCACAGGAGAAAGGCACAATCATGACCATCAGTGTCCCCAGCGCATACCCTCCCCTCACCCCACTGGTCCTGTCTCATCGTGCATTGGCTGTGGGAAGTCACCCAGTCCATTCCACAACCCACTCACCCCACACAGGGTGACACCCCGGAGCCTCGCTCCCACAGCCACACTGCACCTGCTCCCAGTGCCGGCCGGGGTCACCCCAAGGTCTCCAACACCCATCACTGATGGAGACCCATGGCCAGAAAAGTTGGAAGTGGAATGAATTTCAACTCTTGCCTGTTCTCTTCTTTTCCACCCAGGAGAACCGGGACATCCTGGCGGCCCAGGGAAGGACGGAGTGAGTGGACAGAAAGGAGAGCGAGGTCAGACGCCGGGCTGCTGTGTGCCAGCCTCTCTCCTGACTAGCAGGGATTTCACAGGAACCGTCAGTGTGTGCCTGGGCAGGTCTTTTACGAGGCGCCGAGGATGGTCCAGCAGTAAAGCGAGCACAGTTCCTGCTCTCCAGAAGCTCAGGATTAGTGCCGGGATCGGCAAACTGCTTCTGGAAAGGGCCACGTAGTAAATATTTGGGCTTTGCGAAAGGCAGCAGCAGGTGCTCCACAAGTAAGTGTGGTGCGTTCCAGTGTGCAGTCACGTGAAGACCGAAACTTGAATTTCCTACGATTGCCACATATTACAGAATATTCCGGTGACCATTTAAACTACTCTTAGCCACATGGAAGCGGGCGTGAGGCCACATTGAGCCTGTGGGCCGTAGGTTGCTGAACCCAGATTTAGTGGGTGGGCACTGAGGAGTGGCTCTTGATTTTGACCCAGTGCCTCTGGCCACACAGCAGGGAGAAGGGCACTTGAATTGGGCCCCAAGAGTAGGGCCAACGCTGGCAGTCAGCCGCTGGCAGGCAGAGAGGTGGTCATAAGGGCAAACGTGTATGATGTTTGTGCCCCACTGTTCCAAGCGCCTTTTGTGGGTTCACTCACTGATGCCACAGCCCTATAAGCCAGGTAGTCTTACTTCCCCAGTTCCATGGATGAGGGGACAATGGTGTAGGCACTCACAGCTAGCCTGACATCCATGTGTGTTTGTGGTGGAGACAGGGTGGGGTCCTGGCATTTAACTCCAGAATCTGTGCACGAGACCTCTGCTCTGCATCTGGGTGGAGGAAGCTGGAAGCATGAGGGTTTCCGTGGAATGCTGAATGGCACCGTGTAGCTGGTGGAATGGACGGTAGAGAGGGGTGAAGACCACACTGAAGACTTTATTTTGCGTCCCCTCCAGTGAGGAGTTTTTCAGGGGTTGTCACATAACTAGAGCTGAGGGTCAGTTAACTGAAAGTAGCCCGAGTCAGTCTGCCTTTTGCAGTCGTCCCCACTCCCAGCGGTGTTTTCTTTCCAAGATCAGCCTCGTTTAGTGGTCAACATGGAAGACTTACGTGGTAAAGAGTTGTCACTTCTAACGTGAGTCACAAAGTGTTTTGCGGGGTGCGTGCGTGGTCTGGAAGTGAGTGAATCTTCAAGCCCCGAGCAGACACTGAGCCTGTGTGCTCCCTGGTCTCATTTGTGTGCTCGGGGATGGAAAAGCCAAGGGAATGTTTCACAAACCTCCTCTCTACTCTCCATTAGGAGCAGACGGAAACGTTGAAGCAAAAGGCATCAAAGGTGATCAAGGGTCAAGAGGATCCCCAGGGAAACATGGGCCGAAGGGATGATTTGTGTGCTCGGGGATGGAAAAGCCAAGGGAATGTTTCACAAACCTCCTCTCTACTCTCCCTCTATTAGGAGCAGATGGAAACGTTGAAGCAAAAGGCATCAAAGGTGATCAAGGGTCAAGAGGATCCCCAGGGAAACATGGGCCGAAGGGATGTGTTGGTCCCACAGGAGAAAAAGGCCTCAGAGGAGAGACTGGCCTGCAAGGGCAGAAGGGGGACAAAGGTGATGTGGGTCCCACGGGTCCAAAAGGTCTAACAGGCAACACTGGGCCTTTGGGCCCTGTGGGTTTACCTGGCCCCACAGGCCCCACTGGAAAGCCTGGTCCCAGGGGAGAAGTGGGACCCATGGGGCCCCAGGGTGAGCCAGGAGTCCGGGGAACGAGAGGCTGGAAAGGGGATCGAGGAGAAAAAGGGAAAATTGGCGAGTCTCCAGTCTTGCCAAAAAGTGCTTTCACCGTGGGGCTCACGGTGCTGAGCAAGTTCCCCTCCTCAGACGTACCCATTAAATTCGATCGGATCCTATATAATGAGTTCAGTCACTACGACGTAGCGACAGGGAAATTCACCTGCCACGTTGCTGGCGTCTATTACTTCACCTACCACATCACTGTTTTCTCCAGGAATGTTCAGGTATCTTTGGTCAAAAATGGGGTAAAAGTACTGCACACCAAGGATGGTTACACGAGCTCTGAGGACCAGGCCTCCGGAGGCGTCATCCTGCAGCTGAAGCTCGGGGACGAGGTGTGGGTGCAGGTGACAGGAGGAGGCAGGTTCAATGGCTTGTTTGCCGATGAGGACGATGACACAACTTTCACAGGCTTCCTCTTGTTCAGCAGCTAATGGTGGAGGAGTCATCAGATGGTTTATTACATTAATTCCTCCAATTATTGCTGTAATCATAAAAAGGTGAAAATAGGGACGTTATTTCTAAAAGTGATTCTGTGTAACTTACTAACTTTCCAAGAGTAAATTTTAAAACAGTTGCATTGTTTTAAATTTTTATAATTCATTTAATATTTTTCTTCATTCCCATTATCTGAAGAATCCTTTGCATGTGTGTTTCTTGTGGGAAGAATGTTTTGATATAATATTTGTGCTGTAAGGAGCCATGTTATGATTTATGGCTCGTGCGTTTCTGAGGACATAAGGGAGACAGAAAATGAAAATGTTTATTCTATTTAGTGACTAATAAGAGCTTTAAGCTGGTGACAATGAGACACCCCAGAGAGCTGCAGACACTGCTCATTTTATGACTTAGATTTTTTTTTTCCTTTTTGTCTTTTTTACTGACCGGTAATGGGATTGCAACCCTCGGT